AATTAAAAGCCGCATCGGGTTTCCTAATTGTCCTTATGAGATAGATTTTTTTTAGCGCGTTGTAAATTGTATCATTTTGACTAATCAGAAGATTCCGCAGTAATTAAGAAATGTAATTTTGTGTTTATAATAGGACTGTAATTATAAAGTATGGAAGACCAACCAGAATGCAATTAAGTTGCTTTATTTGAGTTAGCCATTGTTCTCCGCTGTTAAGGCCTTTACTTTTGCGAAACACGTGTGGAGAAGTTAATTTGAGTTTTCAATTTCAACTGAGAAGGGTACTTACAAGTATCAGTATCATCTTATGAAATTCATATGATCTTATTTTTATATTAATCTCAGTTATGACATTTTTCCATAAATGTAATAGCAAAATTAATAATAAAATGAATGGAAATACATATAACACAGTAAAATGTAATAAAGAAAGGTACCTATAAATTAATTAGATACCTTTCTTATGAAATATGAAATTTAATCTCACTCTTAACAGTCTTATTTTAATTTCTTTATAATATATTTTCCATAAAGCATCGTAAACGTAAAGGTGAAAGCTAAGTACAAAAAAAAAATTAGAGCGCTGAAAGTTTTCCTTAAAAATAACGAGGTAAATAATTTGTTCACTTAAATGTAAATAATTTCACTTTTCTCCTTCCGTAGAACAAATTATCCTCATGGAATCCGTCAATATTTCATTCATCACCTGTCAAGTCAGGCGAAAGTTTATGACCTGCATTGTTTTATTTTCAATTTACACCTTTTCGGCGCAGAAGCTAAGTTAAGCTTGGTTCAAAATACTTTAAATAAACATTATAATTTCTGATTTTCTTAAAATAAGTTTTGTAAAAATGATAATTGATATTTAAAAGAATTTCAAAGTGATATTTTCATTTTTTTATAAAATGGAGAAAAATCGTTGCCATCTGTCAATTTAGCCGACTCAAAATAAACAAGATTTTTAACAAAAATTTCCGACGTGCTAGGAACGATTAAAAAATGTAAAAAAATACCCACTAAACACTTTGATCTTTCCTCTTAATAATAACATAAGCATTTAGACGATAAAATTTTGTTTTCGTCAAGTTTGACGTCTTTTTCATCATGCTATGGTCTTTTTTTAGCGATCTCGTGGAAGTACCTAATTTTACATTAGATATAACTGAGTTATCTACCATCGCCTGACGAGGTACCATCTTACTACCGAAACATGATAGTTGTTGTGTAGCGATGTAAAATATTTTTATTGTAATTTATTATAATAAAAAATTATATATATATATATATATATATATATATATATATATATATATATATATATATATATATGAATAAAAATGACAATAGGAAAACTGGTAATTGATAAAGTCACATTGGACGAAACGCGTCAGCAATTACCAGTTTTCCTATTGTCATTTTTATTCATAAATATTGTCTTCTCTACTGGTTAAATCGGAGACATTTTCATATATATATATATATATATATATATATATATATATATATATATATATATATATATATATATATATATATGCTTGCTTATACACACACTTGTTTTTACTCGTCTGAAACCAGAAGGAAGTTAACTTTATAGCTGCATTCTTTCCTTGTTTCTGCATATATGACTTCAATTAAAAGTTTTCAACTGTTCAGTCTTTTCGTTCGAAAGGGTTGTTGTTGATAACAATCGTTCATAATGTAAGAACTGTTCAAGTTTTGATCGAACTGTAAATTGTTCCTCATAGCGTAGATGATTTACCCTTCAGGCAATATGCTCGTCTTGTCTGTCATTATCACGACATTTCGACCCATTTAGTCAACAAAACCCTTTCTTCTTCAATTAAAAGAGGTAAATTGATCGCATTCTGCTTCCTGGTTTTAGTCTTAGGGAAAGATAATTCTTATTAGTGAATATTCGCCTTTTTTATTCACCTCTGTGGTAATTGTTCGTTTCTTCCACTGAAGAAATTCATATTATTTTTCAGCAGTTCCACAACCAGGGACTGAACACTTATTTGCCTGGAAACAATATGTGCGGCCAAGTGATACGCGGTGTAATGGATAAAATCGCTCGTTTAAACATAACTGATTCTCTGGCAGTTGACTGAGTGTTCAATCCCCCGGCCTGGTAGCGTTTAAAATTAGAAAAAAAAAGAAGAAACAAACAAGCGACACAAACGTAAATAAGACTGAGGGGTTTTATTGGCTGATATGAATTATCTCCCCTGACCGTAAAAAGCGGAATGATAATAGTCTGTTTCAGTGGATTGTATGAAGGCCATAGGGTATACTGGTCGAAACGTTGTGAAGATAGCAGCCAAGATGAGCATGTTGTTCGAATAACAATGCATAATTCCTCACATAAAAAAACAACCTATCTTTTTTTCCTTTTTTTTTTTTTAGAATTTAACTTTACAAAAAGAATAGTCAATAGTTATAAACATTTTGGTAATTTTACTTTTTTTACCAAATGTTCGGTTGTTATAAAAGAGGACCTTTGCTATATTGTTAGTCAAAAATATTGTCCTCGGTTGTTTATCCATTCAGAATATGTTGGTGCGTCTATTAAATGTTCCAGGTTCCTGTAAGATTTTATTCCACGTTAAAAATAATGAAGACTTCATAAGCATTTCCTTTCCTTGACACAACAAAGAAAGAAGTAGATTCAATTTCTAATGACAGAGTCCTGAACAACGTTGCATACACAGAAAAAAAAGTAAAATCGTGAAGGTCAATCTGAAATATAGCAAGAAATTAGTGCAAGCGTGATAATTAATGTTCAACAGAAAATCACAATCCCGAATGGTTTGAAACAACGAAAAAAACTTTGATTTTTTTTTAAATATATAATCCACGGCGCTATAGGGATTCTGGGATTTTCACCCTCCCCCGTTTTCCTGGAGCTGAAAGTTAATTAGAAGACGTTGTTTTCTTGGTTTCAAGCTATAAAAATGGCGTTGACCGAAACTGTATCTTTACAGTCATTCATTTTAAAAAGTAAATGATAGGGCTTCATTTTCAGTTTTTTTTTTCACCTTTTTTTCGAAAATTTGTTTAAATCTTATAAGTTCTATATGCAGAGAAAGTCAACACGGGTGATTCCAGAAAAAATTATAAGCAAAAAGCAGAAAGAACGTGTATTTAAAATCAAAACAAAAAATAATTTTTAAAGTAAGATAAAAAAAAATCCCTCCCAAATAATTTTACGTCATGACAAGATAAAATAAAATATAGAATCGGGAATCTTTAAAACTTAACATCTAGTATACCTGCCAAATTTTAGTATCTAATTTAGTACTCCCAAGTTTTGACATGATTCAAACCCCTGTTTTAATATTTGACTTACCCACCCGCAACAGAAATTTAATATTTGATTTAGCACCAAGTACACTTTTTAATTTGTGGGGCTCTTCTTGTTTTTAGTATAAAATATCACGAAAAATAACATAACATCGCATTTTCCGTCTTACAAGACGCACTTTTTTCCTAAAAAATACCCTGAAAAATATGCATGCGTCTTCCAAGATGAATGTAAGGCAACACCCAGGCTCAAGAAAGCTTAGATGGTCACCTTATTGGCTTGACTGATAGGGACGTGGATTTGTATGGTGAGTTAGTACATTATAATGTTAGCTATCTGTCTAATTCAGCCTTCTATAGTAAGCTTAGATGTAGCACAAGGCCGAAAATATGGAGCACACAGTGAGGATCGAACTCACTACACAGTCGTAATTGTTCTAGCGAGACAAGCTTGCTAAACATTACACTGCCTTGAGGTGTCCAATTCAGCTTTTTATATGATGTAACCTCAGTACTTAGTTGTTACAAGTATTTCCAAGACTATAAACCTTCCTGGAGCTGATCCACAAGCTTAAACATGCTCTGTTTACTAGCAGTGGCTGGAGCATTTCTACTCCTGATTAGTATGCCATTGTCATACAAACAAAGAAGTCTGTCGTTCACTTTCTGAGCGACGGTTCGGTTCAACTCTCTGTCTACGGACGGAGAGGAACCCGAAGGAGGCTACGCCGAAGGGTGGAGTCTCCTTCGGGGAGGTAAAACCGGCCCTGAACCCGTTTATACAGGTTCAAATGGGCTATTTTTTTGGCCGAGCCTAATGGCTCGGAAATGCCCACGTTAAAAAGGCCTTGTGCCACATGACGCCCTCGTGGGGGGACGATTAAATATAGTCATACAAACAAAATCGAACGAGTGATTAATGTAAACAATACGTGATGCCAGTATTTGAGGGACGTATGGTGAATGTTTTGTTGTATGAGAATGACTGTTTTTTCTTAGAAATTTCTTTCTAATATTAGGGTGCGTTTTCCAAGCCGCAGCGTCTTGTAACCCGGAAAATACGGTAAATCTTTTGGTATAAATGTAGTAAAACCAACCAGAGTTGTTTCCCCTTTGAACTACTATAAAAAAAAAGGTTAATGCCGAAACTCAAATATGTGCAGTAGTCGAATTTAAAAAAAAAAAAAAAAAACTAAAGCTTAATTATAAACGTAAAGGTTCGTCTGCTTTCTTTACAATAAAATTGTATTTTTTCTTATAAAAAGATTTTTCAGGGGTAAGAATCAGTGGGTTTTTTTCCTGTTTGTTTGTTTGTTTTGTTTTGTTTTGTTTTTTGTTTTTTTTCAAACGCTATGAAGGTCATATTTTTGACCGAAACTGAACACCCTTACGAATATGACAAGTATGTTAAAGATTTTTTTTTGATTTTTTAAAATTATTTTTTTTTTTTTTTTTTTTTTTTTTTCGATTCTTTGATTTCTTGAGGGGCGGGGATCTGGTATCATCATAACTTCACGCGACGAAATTAGAAACGGATTTTCATTCATGAACAGTGAAATCCAGACCTGTAAATACCCTGACACCTGGTACGCCACCAGAATTACTCGTCACTATTAACTTCCTGTTCCGGTTGAGTGATAACCCCCAGGGGTCAACAAGTGCATGTTCTTTGCGAAGAATACAGAATGCGTTGGTACCGTCGAGATGAAAACGGTAAACAAGGTTGAGTCCACCTCCTTGAATGATATAGATATAATTCCCATCAGAGGTAACTGCTTGAGGTCGGTAAAAAAATGGAATCTTCCAATTTCCTTTGATGCTAAGGCTGAGCACATAGTCGTTCATTCGATCGGTAATAACGATTTGCCCAGAGGAAGTCACGTGGACATATCTGTAGCTCAGATCATGCCTGACCGTCACGCCGAACTTCACCAGTGACAACGCCGAAGCAAGGACGACTAAGCTGGGCTTGTAAACGAGCCTGTGCAATACGGCTTTGTCGAGCCCAACACAAATTAACTCATCGTTTCGAAGCTGCGACACGCTGCAGTACTGAATAAGTGTCTCGATTTCGAGCAGCAGCGAAAGGCTGGTTCCGTGAACAATGCTGACTATGCATAGTCGATGCGAATAGCAAGTGATGACCACTCGCTCCTGCCCAAACTGGCTCAGGGAAAGCGGAGTGCAATCCAACGCTGTCTTATCGAGCAGGTCCCCGATGTCTGAGTACAGCTTGACGTAATTGTCGCAAATCGCCACAAAATAATCCTTATCCAGAATCAAAACATCTTTGAATCCTTTGGAAGGGAGATCCGGAGATCGAAGGCTTTCATGACATGGTCGATTCTCAGATAACTGATGTTCAAGTTGGTGATGAAAATGCTCGTGCTGATGAAGCTGGTCGCTAAGTTGCTGAAGAAGAGGGGGCGATATATAACCTGGAACCTTTTTATCCGCTAAAAATTCCACAGGGCAGTTAAAAATGTCCTTGGTCGCCGACTGAGGTCGTTCATTTGGCCCGACAAAAGAATTGTAGTCATTTGCATAAAATGTCTCATGGTCACTCGGTGACCTTTCTCTTGTCATCAACATCATTACGAGAAATTTTGGAGCACGTTCATCGGCCTTTTCTTTTCTTTTAAATTCAGTAAAACAGCTTCATTTTGAGTCGGTGTTGAACTTTTAGTTCGTCAGAACGAGCGGCGAGTTGGTACTACAGCGCCTTAGACTTCGGCGTCGTCGGCGGCGACGTCGGCGGCGGCCCGACGGCTCTGAAAAACAGAGACCCGGGATTATTGCTTAGTGCTGAAACCAATGCAGGTAATGGAATGAGTCGGTCACTGAAAAGGTACGACTTATATACTTCAAGCGATAAGCCCACGTGATTCAAATGACACACATTACCTCAGATAATATCTTGTCTTATCTCGCCTTTTATTCGTTCTCTGTTTACAGAATTCAAATTTCTCATCTGATTAAATAACTTCTGCTCATAATAAACATATTGTCTTCTCTCTTATTATCTTTTCTTGTATTCTGTCTTTGTATTTCATTATATATATATATATATATATGTGTGTGTGTGTGTGTAGATACATACACACACATATATATACATGTGTATTTTTATATATATGTACATATTTTAAGACATTTTTATGTTTATACATTCTTTTTTATAGATACAAATATTTAAGCAAATGCTCTGTTTATAATAAACAGTATTAACAACATTTACCGGCCTGAATGTCCGAGAGATTTTCATAGAAAATATTCGTCCTCCGACATATATAGGTGTATATATACATATATAGGGTCAGTTGGAGACAGTCTGTGAAAAAAGAGTACCATTACGCCATTCACGATTGTATTGCTTGGCATTTGCACAAGAAGCTCCAATATGAATGTTTACGAGTGTTTGGGTGTCAATTAACTGAGTCTAATGCTGATTACGAATGTACGGCAGCTCAGAAAACTCACTCCCATCGTTCTTAACTGATGAATTTGTTGGTGAAGACCTCAGACTCAACACGGAGGCCTATATCACGTGCCTTGAGGAGATAGAGGTGCCCTGGGTCAAGAGGGTGGCTGCTGGAAAACTCTTTGTCTGGTAACAGGATTCTGCACCACGCCACACAAACAGGAGAACCCAGTCATAACTGTCAGACAATTTCCACGACCTGATACCCCGATACATCTGGCCACCTAACTCACCAGACTGCCAGTCCGTTAATTATTATGTGTGGGGCGCAGTTGAGCATGAGACTAACAAAACCCCTGGTAATACCAAAGATGAACTGAAGGCAAGGATTATGGCAGCATTCACCAACTTAAACAAGGAGACCGTCTAGAAGAGATTAAGGAGATTCCGAAGTCGTCTGGAGGCCGTAATTGAAGCTAATGGCGATTTTATTGAATAAATTTACTCTTTAGTATTTCAAGATATTCGGGTAATTGCTGTTATATCCGGTATAGCGATTTTCCAAGCATAGCTTAGATGTGGTACAAGGCCGAAAGTATGGGGCACCCAGTGAGTATCGTGATTGTTCTAGCGAGGCAAGCTTGCAAACCATTACACCACTTTGAGGTGGAAACATTGGAATAGTGATTTTGCAAGCGTAGCTTAGAAGTTGCACAAGGCCGAAAGTAGGGTGCACCTCCTGAGGATCGAACTCACTACTACCATTACACCGCCTAGGGCTGCCCAACATCCGGTATATGTATGACCGGGCCATAGACTGATCACCCGAGGTTTTACTGCTGTGGTTTCTCTTTCAAGTAAATTTTTTAAGGGATGGAGTCGTTAACCTCGCGCATGACCATGAATGATTGCCAATTAAAAGTTGAGAACTCAGTCTACCGTTTTCTGGCCTGATGAGTTTTCATTATTTACATTCGTTTGCGGCCATATCACGTTGAAACACCGGTTCTCGTACGATCACCGAAGTTAAGCAACGTCGAGCTTGATCAGTACCTGAGATGGGTGACCGTTTGAGAGTAGCATATATACGCTGTAAGATTGGATGTGTGGGTGCTGTAATGGATAGTGGCTCGGAATTGGAAGTCAGAGAGCCGAGATCTGATTTCAGTCGGATTCGTTAAATTTACTTTTGCGCAAACATCATTTGGAAAGGCATGAAACTTCTCTTCTCCTCTTCTTAATTAACCTGACTTGTATCAGGATAATCATTATTATCTCAAAAATATTCGTAAAAACTAAAAGATATTTTCTGGCTGCAAAAGGTTGAGAAGTCGTAAAAAAAAACCCAAATCAGTCTATCATTATTTATATTATTTACACACGGATTATTGTCCGCAGTAAGAACAAGACGAGGTATCAGTACATGGAGAGCGAAACCAGAATAATCTACCCTCGTAGATTACGGGTTTTCCTTTTGTATAACACGCACCCTCACATGAGACGCCCCCCACCACCACCATTTTACAAGGATATTTTATACAAAAAAAATTTTAGTATCTTATTTATTGAAATATATTTTAAAGGGGTTTTCTAGGGATACATCTGTCTATATCTCTGAGATGAGGTATCATGATTAATTACATTACACTATTCGGACTGTTATCCACATCTTCATTGCCCGTACCTATCCTTTAATATCTGTCTATATCTCTGAGATGAGGTATTATGATTACTTATATTATTTACACTATTCGGACTGTTATCCTCATCTTCACTGCCATATTCACAGCGTTTCGGTCGTTGTACGCTCCGACCTTTTTCAGATGATTCGAATTTCGAAACGAACCCTTTATTTCGTCCAGCGGGGTTGATTGCCCTAGTTCCACGTGCCATGCCTCTTCTGGATATCTCAGTTTCAGTTATTTCCCTTTAGTAAATCATCTTTCCAAGTTTTTGTTCACCTCTGCTGTGGCCAGATATTGATTTGTGATTTTTTTTTTTGTGCCTTCAAATACAATATTGTAACTGTAGACTGAAATAAGACAGAAATGAAATACGGGTACTTTTGTATCAATGTTTACAGGTAAATATAAACAAAGCAAGCTGATATAAAGCAATAAGTACAATAAATGTGAATGAATTTTCGCCAATAGACTGATGAGTTGGCTTGTTATCAATAATTTCTTATTCGTAACAATTTACTGTAATAATCTGGCTTGTTTTCAATATTTTATTTCTCGTAACAATTTTTATGCCGAGCCGACACAGACACAGTCAATGACCCAGCCTACCGATACAGCACTCAGTCATCGCCCATCCGTAATGCAGTTGTATTAGGTGCAGAACTTCTTTTTTTTTTTTTTTTTTGGTACATTTGTTAAAAATTAAACTGCGTCTTACGCGAAGGCTAATACGGTAATTAAAGTATTCATTTTCATATTGGTTGAAGGTCAACTATCAACTGATGACGACCGGAGAGCCCAATGGCCGAAACGTTGAGATACCAACATCAAAGGTAGTTTACCCTGTTATCAACTCGTAGATTTCGAGTGGGGACCTTTGCCAGAGTATTTGTGCAAAAACGAAAAGGTTAACTTTTGGGTGACGTTCTTTTCCTATAATAGATTCCAAATCTTGTATATTTATCAATTGCTACTGTAGAATTTTGCCTACATTCAAATGATATCCGTAGTTATCTTGCTTATAATAGGAAGAATACGAAAGTGCTTTAATGGGGTTATGTTGTCATTACTATTCCGATGTTAAGCAACATCGAGTCTAGTCAGTACCAAGATGGGTGACCGCTAGCGAGTGTTTATCAGCAACACGGTGGCATCTGCGTACCTTAGACTCGGCTGTTTACAGCCATATCCCGTTGAAAATCCAGGTTCTCGGACGTTCATCGAAGTTAAGCAACGTCAAGCCTGGTCAGTACCTAGATGGGTGACCGCCTAGGAATGTTTGTCAGTGCTATCTGCGTATCTTGAACTAAACGTCTCGTTGAAATACCGGTTCACGTATGATTACCGAAGTGAAGCAACGTCGAGCCTGGTCAGTACCTAGATGGGTGACCGATAGGGAATACTAGGTGATGTAAGCTAGGATGTGCAGGTGGTGTAATGGATAACGGCTCGGAATTGGAAATGGAGAGTCGAGTTCTAAGTTAAGTAACAAAACGAAAATATGTGGAATTTCCTTGAAAGAAAGTAAGAATAAGAACAAACACACGATTGTTTAACTTCGTAGTCGTTCCAAAATAAAGAATATTGAACCTGATACTTCGAATATGCCTAAGAGAAGCTATAAAATACAACCAGAACAAATTTTATATGCGTCACATAACTTTTATTACACCATAATTGGTTAGAATTGTTCTATTTTATTGTTAGCAATTATCATTAATATTTAAATGCGTATATATATAATGAAAAAGCACTTAAAATATCATGAGGTGATATTTATTTCGTTGAGGTCAGTAAAAATGGCCTCAACTCTTCAGACCTTTTAATACATTTTAAGATTTATATTGAAAGGTCAGAAGAATTGAGGTCATTTTTTATCGACCTCAACGAAATAAATAACACCTTATGGCGTTTTAAATGTTTGTCATTCATTATATAATACTTATTGTTCTATCTCTGGCATAGAACTCTCACTGGATCCTTTTAGAAATTCCATACGGATTACCAATATTTTTTTTATATATATATATATATATATATATATATATCCATGCGCAGTACTTAGTGGAAAGTGCTCAATATCTGTGATAGAGCTAAGTTATATGGATATTAGTTTGAAACCCAAGGTTACAAATTAATATCTGTACAACTGAATATATATATATATATATATATATATATATATAGTAGGCATCCGATTATCTTGCGAGATAAAAGTAGCATCCTGTTTGATCAAAATCCAATCATTTGGTGGTGAGACTGGTGTGACCTCCCCACGGCGCCATATGGTGCTATACGGAAGCCGTTCGCTGCCCAGTCTACATAGCTCACCTCTCAGCCGTACCGAAAAGAGCTAAAGAAATGCAGGGCATTGCATTTTAGGACGGGTTTGCTGCAGGAGTCGCCAGAATAATGTCAGCGTTGACAGCCAACCACTCCGGGTTTTCTGTCCTGATTTACTTCAACAACCTCTTCCGTGTTTAGGTATGGCCGCAAGGCAGCGGAAGTCAAAATCAGGGTTTTACTTCTCCTATATGGACTGCTTTCCTGGGCAGTCGAGCTCACTCTGCCCGAAGCAGCTGTTTATGAAGCGTTAGCTTGGGTCTGGACTTGGTTGTCATAGGCTATTTGAGATACGTGCCACGGAAGCCTTTTATAGACATTAGGAGACTGACTTGACTATTACCCATGGCCATAACGGCCATAACAATCTTTGCAACATATATAATGTACGGGTATAAACATACGTGTTTTAGAATATATATTTTTATATATTACACGTTATATATATATATATATATATATATAAAAGTGAACATTGAAATCAACACCTAGAAAATCTTGACTTCAATGTCCATTTTTATATTTCCATACCCTCTATCCCTGATATTGTGCACTTTAACCTATAAATATAGCGTACCGGAAAATTATATATATATATACTATTAGGCTTATTAAAATCACAATTAAGATCCAATTTTTAGATTGATTATTGTAGTCTATTCTAACGGTTATCGGTTTGTTAAAATCAATTAGACTTAGTAAAATCAATATGCAAAATAGTTAAACCTGAAGAGTGATATTGCCTAGCATTAGACACAGATATTGAGCTTTTAGCGTGTAATTTGCTATAAAACTCTGGCGTTTTAATCTCAGAGTCCGTGGTAGAATTGAGCTCTAATTTCTCGTTAATTCATATAGATTCCATAATATTGATTTTACTTAATTAGTTATAATGTTTCTCTAACTCTTCAAATGTTGAATGTATAACTAATTCTATTTTCACGTAAAGACGTGAAAATAGAATTAGTTATATATTTTATATTATATATTTATTTTATCTTATAAATTGTCTCTTTTTCGGTTACGCAGGAAATAAAAATAATTGTACAGAATATAAGGATCCACGTACATCAAATAGTTTTTAAATTAAGTGGCAGCAGAAGAATTATCGTTGAACTTTGAGTTCTTCTATAGTTCATTGATGCCTATCGCATCTAATCTCTCTAGCTATCGGGAACATGGCCAAACCAAGTGTTCTCCACAAGAGCTAGCTTAAAATTTTAACGTACTTCCAATTTTAGATACAAAAGGAAAATAAAAGTTATTCCCCTTCTGAACCATGAACGCAACGATAATGGCTAGTATAATATATTAATATATATTTTTAACCTCGCATAATTTAGCAACCCTGAATCTGAGCTCAACAAAAATCCTTCCCTGTGCCTACTTTTTCTATGGCTTTAGAATGAGCTATGAAACCCATTCTAAAGCCCTAGAAAAAGTCCTCAGTTCCCACTGGATTGATTTACATGATTCATATCATGGAAATCAGACCAGTGGGAACTGAGGAGTTGCTTGGACACACACATACAAACACACATAAAAGCACGCACACACACACACACACGAACATACTGTACATTATATATATATATATATATATATATATATATATATATATATATATTCACCTACATATACAAACACATACATGCCCCATACTTATATATACATACATATACGTACATATCCATACTCCTACATATATATCTATCTACATATACCCATATGTTAGGATAACCTATCACAATTTTACCTCCACCCAGATCAACCTATTGCAAATTATCTTACTTTAATTAATACTCATCCACAAGAAGAAAATTCATGCCAAAAATTTAATATTTATTATCAAACCAGTAAGGGTAAAATAACATAATTTTTAATTTAAAATTCACGGGTGAAAATGATCATTAACTAATGGTGTCTTGATTCTAATTGTATGAAATATTTTGCACTGTTTAGAAAATCATTGAGCGCTTTTTGGTGAGTTAGTTTTAACATTTAATAGTTAATGTTTAAAATTTCATATTGGGTTAATTGAATTCACTTGGACTATATCAACGGATTACTATCCATATATATATATATATATATATTAACGAAAAGCAAAACTGTTGGTTGAACCAACGGACAACTTGCGAAAACCTAAAACCCTTATCCAGATAAACTCTCGAACAAAAACAACAATACATAAAAAAGAAAAAGAAAAGCGACCTAAAGGCAAACTTACTTATCCATTAAAGTGCTCGAACCTTAGATTTTCTAGACAGAACAAAAAACTGCTTAACAGCGTTAAATTCTAGGAAAGGATCGTTCAACTCGTAACCCGAGTTTAACCATCACTTAATTTTCAGACGACTTCAACGTTTCCACAGAATGCCGTCTATATATATTTAGATTTTTTTTAGCACACAGAACTAACCCAAGTAGGTTCCTTTAATTAGGCCCAGCCTTTGACTTCGTGACACACATAAGTTAGCCTTTGGTCTTGAGCCCAGAGTTGTGAGGAAAGTTGAATTCAGTAGGTTTATTTGGCTTTCTATTACGCTAAATTAAACCCAATAAATGCCTTGGCTTTATGCCACGCTTATGTGAATCTAGTAAATCCATTTGGCCTTGTGTCAAGCTAAGCAAATTGGACGCTTTTGATCTTGTATCACAATAAGCTAAACCCAATAAATAACTGCATAGCCCACATTGGTTACTCACGTATTTTTCTGAGTGAATGAATGTGTGCGTCAAGTAAACACGGTGTACTTAAATTGTTGATCCACCTCCACAACAAATCCGAGCAAAGTCTACATCACATAGAAGAGTAATTTTGAATCAGTTCAGGTGACGAAACTATCAATCACTGTGACAAAGGGCAAAGACACTTTGTTGAAGTAAACAGAAAAGATGGTCATTAATCTGTTTGGCTTTCCAATCAATTTTATTTGATTTGTTTTGATAACAACAAAATAGGAATTAAATAAAAGAAAAATATCTACGCTCGATTTACGCACACGATTGAAAAATGAATCGTGATCTATATATACATAATTCTCAAAATGTGTGTGTGTGCCGGTTTTGAGTCCAAATTGTTGGCGATAATGGCTCTTTACTAGTTCCTGTCCATTATAATTCTCATCAACATTTCTCCATTTACTATTGGTTCTTGGATATATATCTTTCATAAAAAAAAAACATTAATAGAAATAAATAGTTTAAATTATTACAATATTATTATTTATTATTATACAGTTCCCTTTTCAAGAGCACCCCACTTCAAATTGTTAACCCCCCCCACACATTTGGAGATGTGCCTCAGTTGCACCCAAATGTTGTTACTAATATTGATTTTCGTAGGGGCTGACTTTAAACTTAAACTGCTCCAATTGAACGGCAAAAATTCCCAGTAATATAAGACCCGGGCAAAGACGGGTCATGCCACTAGTAGTAAATATTACTAAGATTCATTTATACGTATACATATACAGTTCAAAAGTTTGAAGCCACCCAGAATTAGCATTGAATGAACTTGACAGAAGAGTGAAAAAGAAATGAAAAAGAGCTATTAAAGTCATTGAAAAAAGAATGGAATCGATTATGAAACTTATCTTTGAGAAAATTTTGCAACGAATGCCAAAAAATGTGCTGCAGTAATCAAGGCTAAAGGAGGATATTTTGACGAGAGCAAAATTTAATAACAAAATGATTTTTTTGTTCTTTTTGTCATAATAAAATTCCTAATATAAAAGTCTCACTTTTTAATCGTGCATAATAATTTTCTCTTATTTAAAGTAAAAAGACAACAACTACTTTTTGGACCAATTTAAAAAATTTTCCACGGGTTTCCTCAAACTTTTGAATTTAATGTGTGTGTGTGTGCGTGTGTAGTGGGGTGTTCACGGCTTCCCAGCCATCTTGTTTTTGCCGTTTAAGCCTTGCTTCAACCTGTCTGTATATATATATATATATATATATATATATATATATATATATGTTCTATTTCGTCTATTCTAACGGGAGTGGTTTATTAATTTGTTTATTATTTACTTGGGTTAATTTATTTTACTTGTTTTTTTTTTACA